TCAAAAATGAACTATTTCTATTTTCAGTATTTTAAAAGATAACGTATTGCAAGCCAGCCTAAGAATCACTGAAGTTAATTTGGAATGCAACATTCACACCTCTTTATGTCATGACTAATGACAGTTATATTTCTTAAAAGCATCAGTTCCAGACATCTCATACAGACACATCTTAAACATGAGCAAAAATTCTATAACCTCTTCCTACTACCAGCACCACCACCAGGTTAAATAGATTATCCTAAGGAAGGAATTCTATAATTTTAATCTAGATCACCGATGGCAAATCTTTTACAGACTGAGTGTTCAAACTGCAACCCAAAACCCACTTAATTTATCGTCATTGCCAACACTGCAATTAAACCCAAGTACTGAGGTGTTAGTTTAGAAAACAAATTATAACCTTGGCTCACGAGTGTGCCATAAGTTTGCCACCACTAGTCTAGGCCATAAACCATGTTAGATATTCTTTTGTTACCACATCTTTTCTCGTCATAAAAGTTACCACTCTGTTTTTAGTATGTTCTTAATTATCTATCTTCCATGGAAAGACAGTCAGTTCCATGGGACTATACCTACTATCTTTACCCATTTGTTCCCAGTCTTAAAATGAAGAACTTAACCAAGTTCCTCATCTGAACCACAGACACGTTGCTTCAACAGCATTTTATTTTCTTTCCACTTTCCAAAGAGTGGTACCCAAGGTAGCATTTTAGATGCATGGTAGAGAAGTTAACCAAAGCCCAGTTGAAAACACCTGCCTATGCTCACACCCAGTACAAGGTTCCAGAACAAATGTTCTGAATTCAAACTAAGTATCTACTACAATCAGAGAGGAGATGGTGAAGGTGATAACAATGATGATAATGAGGTAATGACAATAAAAGCAATGTTTATTTTTACAATAGGCCAGGAACATCTGTATCTCATTTCATCCTCAACGATGTTACTTCAATTTTGTACAATTTTGTAGAAGAAACCCGAGGCTGAGAAAAGTTTAAGAAGTTAATGATAAAGCCTGGAATTCAAGCCCAGGCTTCTATAGCCGCATACTCTAAACTGTATCTGCAGCAGATATATTCTAAGACCCTCCCCTCTCCTGTGGATCATAAAGACCACAAATAATGTTTCTCCATTTGCACTGAAATGTTCAGAAAAGGTAAATCTAAAAAACAAATAGATTACTGGCTGCCTATGGTTCAGAAGGAAAATAAATGTAAATGAAGACAATATAAAATAAAAAGAAAACAGACTCAAACATGAATAATCCTAGCAGCTCTTTTTATAATAACCCAAAATCAGAAACAATCCAAACATCCAGCAACAAAGAGGTGAATGACTAAATATGTGATATACCCTCACAGTGGATTGTTACTTAGTAATTAAATATATATGTATATGTATACACACACACATATACAATAACATGGATAAATCTCAAAAATCATTTTTCTGAATAAAAATAAGACCCAAGAGAAGATACTATTATAAATAACAGTACTTCCATTATATGGAATTCATATTCTTCCATTTACCTGAAATTCTAAACAGTACAGCTCATCCACAGTGAAAGAAATCAGAGCAGTGATAGTCTTGAGATGGAGGTGGAGGCTGCAGATGAGTAAGAGGAAAGTTTTCAAAAGTGCAGAAATGTTCTCTACACCAGCAGCAGTGGTTTTTCCAGATTATATGTCAACATTTATCAAACTGTATACTACAAATGGTTCTAAGTTAGTGTGTGCAAATTAGATCTCAATAAAGTTGATTATAAAAATACAATAATACATGAGTAATTGCACATTTTCTATTTAAGAGGTAAAACTAACAATACTTTATTCTAACCAACACTTCCTGGCTTAATTTTAAATAAAGATCAAAGAATTTTTTTAAAAGCAAATAAAGCCAGGTACAGTGATGGAGCATAACTGTAACCCCAGCATTCGGGATGCTGAAGCAGAAGGATCATGCCCTCAAGCCCAGTCTGAGCTACAGAGCAAATTCCAGGA